GTGTTCGAAGCTAGCCATGACCCTTGTTTTTTCAAAGTCAATTTCATGAGAAGTTTTTCGGACGTGTTCAGCTAAGGAAGATGTTTTTTATTGTTTCAAGTCTGCGTTACGATGTTCTTCGCGTCTAACGTTGATACGTCTATTGGTCTGTCCCACGTAGCTTCCGTCACAATTCTTACAAAGATTTTTGTACAGCCCTTGTGCCTCCAACTCTATTTTTGGTTTGGCGTTTGGAAGTATTTGACCGAACTTTCTTGGGGCGGTAAATGTGGTCTCAATTAGTGTTGGGATCGCTCGAGTGAAAAACCGCTCGAGTACTCGATTATTGAAATAACCGACATCACTCGATTATTGAAACGACTACTCGAGTTATAAATTCAAGCGAAAATCTTCGCTTAAAATCTACCGAGCACCGAATTAGGTATATTTCTGTAATTTATATTTTATAATAAAAATTTTATTTAGTTGAAATTGCACTTTAGTTTAAAAAGTTAGATTTTTTGTCAATTATGTTTACAATTATTAAAAAGTAAATTGGCGATATCCATCGCTTGTCTCTTGTTTTATTAACGAGCCGCGAATCACATGACACCTAAACGTAAGTGAAAAATTGCTCGGATTATTGCGAGTGATGCAAGCTGCAAGCGATCTACCCGAGTATGAATGAATTCATTAATTGAATTGAAATTTCGAGTGATAAATCGCTCGGGCGATCGCTCGATTATTGAAATCGCTCGAGTATCGAGTACTCGATTATTAAAAATTATCGGTTTTTCCCAACACTAGTCTCAATGTTATGTTTTTTAAGAACTTTGCCTATTCTCTCGGTTGTCCCTTTCACGTAGGGAAGGAAGGCCTTCGAAGTTGGTTTGTTGTTCTTGTCTTCTGTGATATTTAACCGGCGTCGTGGTCTAAGAGCCTTTTTGATAATGGTTTTGGAGAATCCGTTTTGCTGTAGTGTCGTTTGGATTTTCAGGTCTTCTTGTTTCTTGTGGTCATCATCCGCCAGCCTTGACAAGTGTCTTGTGACGGGTGGTGGTGAGACTTGGCGTGTGTTCTAATTTGCCATTATTTTTCTTGATTATGAAGACATCCAGAAAAGGTAATTGGTGTTCTTTCTCGGTTTCCATTGCGAACTTAATCTTTTTGGGAATTCCGTTGAGATGAATTATATATATATAATATTAACCAGTTTTCATGTTAATCCAGGAATTTCTTCAGTTCCGCTTCTCCGTGGGTCCAGATGATAAATATGTCTTCTACGTACCGTAGCCATAACTTTGATTTTAGTGTTGCCGCTTCGATAGCTCGTACTTCTATGTCTTCCATGAATAAGTTGGCTATTGCTGGGGATTTTGGGAAACTAACTTTTAAAAAACAAAGGTCTTGGCTAGCATCGAATACAGAACCAAACGTACCATCCTTGAAGCCATTGAAATAGAAAAACGTCCAAGAAACCTCAATACAAGAGGCGATACACAGAGACTAAGCTTACTGTTGCGCAATAATTTATAAAAAAATACATTCAACGGCTACATACGCTATTTTAATTTTTCCTGCAAAGTAAAGCTAATAATATCACTATTTAAAAAAATGTTTGGAATATTATATATTTTTTTAAGTTGAAAACGCCAAATGTACCAACGTGGGCCATCAGCCGCTCTTGTAAAAATCAATTTTATTTTTCAATAAATATTGTTCATAATATTTTAAAGTTAAATATATTATTTGTGTTGCTGTTTTGAGCTAAACTTTTTGCATCTTTATTTGTTTTTATGGGTCATTTAACCATGCAAACGATTAAAGAAATTCGTTACTTTTAACTCTCAGAAATAGTCAAAGATGGTGCCTAATCTTAAATTAGTCAAACTTTAACTATTTACGTAGTAAAAAATAACTATTTAAAAGTGAAAACGACTATTTTATTAGTAAAAAAATGCTGATACTAATTCAAATAGTAGAATTTTGACTACCTATTTCATTTTTAAACAGTGGATTTTGGGGCCAAATGTGGTCTTTAATGCACAAGAACTTTTTGAGTGCATTTTAATTGATAGTGATTAAAAAAAGCAGAATTACATTAATTAATATTGAGAAGGTATACTACGAAGGTGCAGAGCAACTATTAACAATCGTGGAGGACATACCCTCTATTAATAAAGTCAAAAAACTTTATTTATTGACTTTAAACATTTACTAAATAAATTAGTTATTTTTGTAATTAGATCTGTTTTTAAGTTTTTGTTAATTTATTAATTTTTACCTCACTTTAAAAAAATGTGTATTATAAAAGTAAAATATGTATGTTTAACATTTACAATAAACTTCTTAAAAATGTATTTCTTTGGAATTTAAAATTTACTACTTTAAGCATAGGTATAATATAATTTTTCTTAGAATTTTTATTTTCGCTTTAATTAGGCTTTTTATTTAATATATTTTGAACTTTTATGTTTAAAGTTTTAACGTTTGTTAAATTATGCAATATTACTTTTTAATTAAAATATAGTTCAAAGTTGAATACATAAGGATTACACAGTTTTATTTAAATTTTATAAAATACATTAAATAATAATAGCTAGAAGGATATAAATCTCAAAAAGTTAACCATATAATAGTTTTATGAAGTTTAATTTATAATTTAATTAAGGTTAATAGTGCAAACAGTATACAAGTATACGCAGATTTTAGAAAAGGCTCAGGTTTAAAAGAATAAAGTTACAAGTTGTGTGATAAAGTGCCCCAGAAAATTACCTGACACACACTCTGCCTGTTATAAAATATGTGCCTCCTTCCACCATGACTACCACGCCAAGTGTATCCCATAAAACCCGGCCTTGCCTCTCTAAAATATTCAACTTAAAGGCTCAACAGTTTAGCCTAATTAGGTTAATCAGTTCATTAGGTAGTCAATTGATTTGCCCTGCTTCGTTGCCTTTAACTTTTCTTAATTGCATTCTTGGAGGATTGCAGTCACCTTTGTGACATCTTTCTCTGCTCTTTGTGTTAGATTACAAAACTTTCAGCAATTAGAGCTGATCGAGTAAGACAAAGACCATTTTAAAATATAGGACAGCCATGAAGGGCCGGTTAAGGAACGTCTAAGAAAGTAATTGTAAACGAAAAAACATGTTTTAATCAACAAAGCATTTTCATAGTATAAACTATACTATTAATTTTACTATTAATTTTCATAGTATAAACTATACTATTAGTTTTGGAATAGGTACATTATTTAATTTCAATTTTTCTTGATTTTTTGCATACATCGACTGATGTTCCGGCAATTTTGCGTTAAATGTTGGTCCTAAAATCGTCTAAAGTCTGGCTTATTGGCATAAAGCAATGACTTGATATAGCCCCAGAGAAAAGAGTCTAAACCCGTTAAATCGCACGAACTAGGCGGGAAATTTGGTCCATTTCTGGAAATACCACGGTCAATAAAATTTAAATTCAATAAGTTGAATATTGTGTGGCATGTGTGGGATAAAACCTCTTAACCCAAAATTTCTTCCAACTTATCGCAAAAATAGGCCAATAATACCACCAGAATGAAATCCGCACCACAGTTAATTTTTGGCATGTAATGGCATTTCTTGAATGGTTTCGGGTTGCTCGCTTGACAAAATGCGACAATAGGGTTGGGACGATGTCGAAAATTAGCGTAAAACTAGTTCTATTATAGGGATTAGTCACTAAAAATAACCATAACGTTGAAAAAACGATTTTTGCTATCAATTTTTCGTTAAAAAATACTTTAATAGTATACAACTTTTCTCAGTGGCGTAGTGTCACGATACTATATATTGGTGTAAAAGGCGTGTCAAGACTTTCAAATAAAGTATAAAAATACTATTAGGTATTGCTTGAAATGTAATTTAAATATATAGGTATAAGTAAAAGAAATAAATATAATTGGTGAAGCGAATAATTATTAACTTGTTTAATGATTTTGGACCAGTCATAGCACTTTTTATGATTTGGTGTTCTTTTGAAGCATTTTTAAATTATATCGGATGCCTTAAAAGCAATTTTTTAGTATTGTTTAATCCTTTAAAACACAATTCTAATAAATTTATTACTAAAATATTTAGTTTAGTATGGTTTATTATAGTATGGTTCATAATTTCTTATCCTTTAAAGTTTGGACAATTGTTTATAATTTTATTATTTTATATTTTATATTTCCATTCTTTTTAATGTTTATTTATATTTAATATTAACTTTATTTCACAAAGCATTTGGATTCATTTTCGTATTTTTATTTTGTTACCAGTATCGTGACGTCAAGGTCTTCAAAGCGTTTTGAATCTTGCGTTTTTCAAAATCCTGCAGAGTTCCTAAAAATTGTTTGGAAAACGTACTCAAAGATAAAACACCCCATAGATTGGAAACTGCACTAGCGCTAACGGCAAAACGCTAAAGTAAATTGACGCCATCTAGGTCTACACTGCCGTGCTTAATGAAAACGCCGTAACCAACAATTTTGCGATTTTTGGTTTACGGCATTTTCTACTAGAACAATTCATCCTGCGTCTATCCCCGGTACTCAAAACACCGTATCTACCTTTATAGTTAAGTTTTAACAGGTTTTTTTTGCCGTATATACATTTATGTTACTTTTCATAAAGCAATCTGCCGTAAGCCACACTTTTTAAAGAAAATTGCCGTATCTGCAGGCTTTTGAGTAGATACGGCAAAGTGATTTAAAAATAACACCCTATTCCGCAAAACGGCAGGGCGGTTTGACGTAAGTGATAAAATGAATTAGCTGTCACAGCAATAGTTTCTGTTTTTAGGTTATTATTCTCGCAGTTCAATTTAGCAGCGAAATCCTATCAAATTGTTAATTTGCATTGTTTTCAAAGTATTTAAGGGGTGATTTTGTGTTGAATTAGCTATATAAAATATTAGTGGGTGTTCCTCTATTTTTGGGTAAGTAATTTTTTTTGTTTGCTTCAAATATTCATTGTTTTTCTGTTTTTTTTTATAGTTTCAATATGAATACTCTGCCAAGAAGCAAAAAGATAATGGCCATGTTAAATAAAGACATAAAAAAACGATTTACTCCCCAGAATAATAAGCAAAAAAGAAAGAAAAGTAATAATGATTTAGATTCGGATTATCAACCAGATTCAGAAGATGATCTCGATTCCTTACATCCTGAAAAAATGATACAAGTTCATTCGCATAATAGAATTTCTGGCTCAAATCTTTTGCAAGTTTCAAGCCTACTTCCAGCTTCTCTTCAACCAGGAACTTCATTTCAAGACCTATCAAATTCAGAAAATGAAATAGATATTGTGGATGCCGAGGCTGTGCAATGCTCTTCGTTTGATAATAAAAACGAAGAATCATTACCAGCTGCTATTGCCTCTTCGATAATAGAAGAATTAATAGATTTAACGATTTCGGAGATTTTAAAGAAAGTTACGAAGAAAGGGACTCTAAGAAAGCGGAGGAAGTTCGATATTCCATTATCTAGTCGCATAGCAGCAAAAAGAATGAAAAGGGTTTTGAAACACTCAATAGTGAAACCGCCCTGCTCTTCCACATGTTTTTTGAAATGCAGTTTAAAACTCAATGAAGAACGTAGAAAAGTTATTTATCAGCAGTATTGGGAGTCACCCAGTGACATCCAAAAAAACTTTCTACTAAACCATGTTAACAGAGAAAAGATAAAAAGAAGAACTGTATTCCTCTCTACCGAGCCGTTAAGAAAATCAAGAACTTTTAATTATTTCTTGAAAGATGATGTTGGTGACCTCCATCGGGTATGCAAAACTTTTTTCTTGGGGACAATAGGATATAGTTCACATGATGATAGATTCCTCAGATCTATTACATCATCTGATAATGACGAAACTGTGATTTATACACCCAAAAGTCGAACAAGGGGGACTCCAAATAAAAAAATCGATCGTAAGGTTATTATTGATCACATATCTTCATTTGGGCCAACAATATCTCATTATCGAAGAGCACATGCACCAAAAAGACTATATCTTCCATCTGATATTAATATAGCGTATATGCACAAACATTTCCAAGAAAAGTATCCTTCAATGACAGCGTCCTATACTGTGTACCGACAAGAAGTTGCCGACCAGAATATATCTTTCGTTAAACTTGGGCATGAGGAATGCTGGTCTTGTGAGATTTTTGAATTGCATTGTAAGCAGATAGGCCACGAGAAAAATAAAATTCCTGATGATTGCAATGTATGTCAAAAATGGAATACCCATAAAGAGAGGGCAAATCTTTCAAGGGAAGCTTATCAACAAGACAGCAAATCTGACACTGAACCTGGTCGTTTGATTGTATCTGCAGACCTTCAAAAGGTATGCTTTCTTTACAGATTTTATGGATCGAAATTAAATTTACTTTTTTCAGGTAATAATGCTGCCACGCCTTGACATGTTTAAAGAGGTAATTTTTACACCAAGAATTATTGCATTTAATGAGTCTTTTGTCCCTGTCGGTTCCAATAAAGAAAAGCCGTGTGCTATCTTGTGGCATGAGGCGATATCTGGAAGATCAAAATCTGATATCACATGCGCATTTCACAGATTTTTGTTACTTAATCGAGATGCTCAAAAAATTATATTCTGGCTGGACAATTGCAGTGCACAGAACAAGAATTGGGGATTGTTTTGTTTTTTCGTCCATATGATTAACTGCAATGATATTGCTGCCCAACAAATTGACCTTAAATACTTCGAGCCAGGACACACCTTTATGAGTGCCGACTCATTCCACCACCAAGTGGAGCATTCATTAAAAAAAAAAGGAAAGGTTTATGACTTCCAAGACTTTGTTGATTGCGTTGAGAATGCAAGGCCTGGAAAAAAGATAGTCGCTGCTGTCATGGATCTTCAAAACTTTTACGAATGGCCTGATTGTACATCTCAGTTCAAATTGGGTAGAATGTCTCCTCGACCATATCTTCATTCTATGGTGCATGTTAGATTCACAAGAGGTGACCACACTTTACAATATAAAAATAATTTTAATGATGATTTTTGTAAACTAAATTTTTTAACCGCAAAAGCTTACAAGAGTGGAGTACCTTCTCCGAAGCCCCTTAAAGAACCACGGGGTATATTAAAAGAAAGAAAGGAAAACATAATCAGTAAGCTCTCGGAAATTATTCCAACAAATAGAATAAGTTTTTGGAAAGATTTACCAGTTTCTCAGGCTGATACTAGTTTAGATGACAGTGAAATTGAAGATTCCGATGATGAGTAGATTCATTTCTTCCATTTTGTTTTATTGATAGGCATCCAGAGTTCTGTCTTGTGTTCCTTAGTTTATTTTTATATGCCTACCTAATGTTACCTTATATGACTTAAAAGCATCATGTTTATTTTTGTACTACAAATATAATTAAAAAAATTGTTTACAAAAATGTCTTTCTACTTCCTAACAAACCTTTGCTCTATCCATCAAATACGGCATCAGAAATATTTGTAATATATTTATTATTATTTAATGAAAATGCCGTATCTACAATAATTTGTAGATACGGTATAATCATCTAACATTTATTACAGATATTTTAACTTAAAATGCCGTATATGCAAATTTCTTTCAATGCTGAGAACTAGAAATATAGCGAAGCAATAACCATATTTAGTCACTGCTACTAGAATGATAACCAAAAACCCAAGTTTCCATCTTTAAAAATAAGAATGGCACAAGGCAAAACAGAAAATGTCGAATTTCTCAAAATGTAATTTCTGTAGATACGGCGTTTTCATTAACTACGGCAGTACAATACCTAAGCAATGCCAAAAATTTAAGTAGATTTCTGTAACATATATTGGCGCCATATTAGAATTTTAATGCTTCGTAGGGTGCCTTTATATATTGTATTTACTGCTGTATTTTAAATAAAACAAGTATGAATATAAAATTTATTTATTGTAGTAATAATATAATATAAAATAAAATACATACATGAATATGTTTTTGTTTGGGGAGTGCAAACCCAAAAAATATTAGTCTTTATTCTTCAATAATAAGAGAATATTGTAACATTTGGTAATTTAGTCCAGGCTCCTTATACGATTTTAAACTTAACATAAGAGAATTTATACAAGGCTTTTGAGTGTGCACTTTTGGCAAGTTCTAATTTGGTTAACCAACCGTGAAAAATCCATCTTGCCAACACTTGGTTTTGGAACAACCATAAGTTGCCTGGACTTGGCCTGGACTAAATTACCATTAAACAAGCAATCCCAAATAATTCATAATTCTCAAACATTATTTTTACGCCTTGCTAAGCCAAAAAGAAGCAACTCCACTTTTTTTTAAATTATAGCGCTTTATTGTTTTTTTCATAAGGTAAATTCAATTTAATTAGCAAGTTTTAAAAGCTATATAGTACTTAAAAATGTATGTATAGTTAAAAACCATTGTTGGTCAGTTGCGATATAAAATAAATGAAAGTTTGGTTTTCTTGAAGAAATAAATTGGTAATTTTTTGAAACTTTGTAGAAGTAAGAAGAAATAAAAGGAAAACTTGATTCTGTCGCAATAGAACGTAAGTTGTCATTTTAATTAAAATTAACGTTGACTAAAATGAGTTGCACCCGCGATCAAAATATTAGAATCGCGGGTGCAACAGTTATGACTCTTACGATTACATTAGGGAATTTTTAGCGAGTTACCGGTAATAAAAAGTTAAAATCATTCTATTTTAGCGAGTAACCGGTAACTGCATGAAATGTCAAATCAGTAACCGCGGTTAAGAATTGAGCTCGGAAAGCAATTGTTAACAACGCTGAAGAATTTTATGATCTGGCTCGTCGCCTTTCTCCAAAAATTTCTTTTATATTTGTATCCCAAAAACAAATTAAAGAATGAAATGATAGGTGGAAAGGACTAAAAAATATACCAGCCATTCAATCAAAACATTTTTTTCAATTTGAGGAGGGTAACAACAATTGTGTTGCACGAACGTCGAAGTCTAATTTGAAAAGCAAATTAGTTTTGACAACTGACAAAAACAACGTAGAAAAGTTACAAAAACAGTTACGCAAAAGTTAGGCGTTTCTGATGTTTACAGCGATTCTGAAGATGAACCTTAAGGCTGATAAATCGCCGACTATTCCAAACAAATAATTTATTTAAGTTACATAGGAAATTGCTAATTAGTGATAATACAGCATCTATGATCTCATATCTTTAATTTAAAGTTACATGGAAATGTTTATATTCACTACAGTGAGACGTGTTGCACCCGCGATAATTTTACGTTGCACCCGCGACTGGATAAAAAGTGAATAATTTATAATATTTATTTCTTTTAATAATTTTATTTAAGTTAATAATTAGTTTGTTTTGTATTCTTTTAAAGAATGTAAAAATAATTTAATAAATATTCCATAATTAACAGACTTTTTTCATTCTAGCTTCATGAACTTTAATGGTGGGCCGATTTCGTTGCACCCGCGATAGCACTTTGAACCTCTCCTGTGTCTATTTATACATTTTACTTAATGTTTTTTATATTAATTTTTGTAAAACAGATTACAATGTAATCCTGCGACCAGTCATTTCTTTAAAAAGTGTTTTTATTTTCTTAGTAAGAAGCCTTGAGTGAGTCTAAATGTTGCACCCGCGAGTACGGAATCGCCCTGTAGGTGAATAATTTTACTAAAATTAAAATTGTGATTGCCAACTGCAGTAACATGTTAATTTTTTATTTTGTGATAAAATAATAAAGGATTTTAAAATCGCGAATTTGTTTTAAAAAATCCATTGATCAATAATTATTTATCTATCTTAATTATTTTAAAACCAAATAATGTTTGAAATTATTTTAATAAAATATTGTACTTCGATTCTCCATCGAAATAACGTAAATTAAATTAAAATAACAATTATGGTTTTTAAAAATATTCCAAAACTTTGTGTCGGCCCATTAAAAGGGGCCAACTGTTTCTTATTAATTATCACTATATTTTCATTTTTTTTTTAAATCTCGTCCTAATATGACGAACATATTATGTTCACGTGATGATGACGTCATTTATTGGTTATCATCGACCTAAGTTAATAATTGGTTCTGTTTTGGTGAATTTTGAGACGTCGAAAAATGGTTGAAATTTAACTTTGACCAAATTCAAAAATCCATTTTTTGTAAGCACGTCACTCACTGTAAGTGCACTTTCAAAATTTTAATAATCCCGTGCCTTGTCGCGCATGTGTCGTGATGTGTGTAATTTTGCTTTGGCACAAGGTTTTTTAAATATTTTTCGTTGTTATTCTTTTATTTGTAAAAAATCTAATTACACGTTGTGGTGGTGATTATTTAGTACTCTTTGTTGCTGCCTGCTTTTTACAAATGCGAGTATTTTTTTGAATTTTTGACGAAATCGTAAAGAACGAGATATTGCCTGTTTGTTCTCCAAACATGCTTCGGAATCGAGACACAAATTGTATTGAAAAGATTAGTCCCATGCTCGAAAACACTCTAGAATACAAAATTTGAGAGAAGTTTTCAATAGGAGTATGGAATCCTCAAATCCATATATTTTATAATTTAGTTTAAGACAGCGAATGTCAATAAAACATGTATCTTTATGGCCGCAAGCTGTTGAAATAGGCTCGAATGTATAGTCATTCATATACACAAATTACATGCAGCTGCATCAAATTTGTTTATATGACCAGCTAGCTTGGTTTTGTTATGAGTAAATAATATTTACAACTTGTATAGTATGTATGTATCTTTTAACAAATTTATTTATGATTGATTCCAATGTATAACTATAGTTATACATTGGAACATTATATATAATAAAAAAGCAAACAAATTCTATATAACCCATCAATTACCAGATATATGGAATCCATAATTTAAAAGCGATTTCAACACTAAATTTCCCTTCAGTTGTAACAAACTTATTGAAAAGTGGGCCATTCATATTTGATCCATCACACAGTAGGCTAGAGCGCGCTTCCAGCGCGAAGAAATTCAAAATAAGTAAGTGTTTTATTTCGATCAAATTTAGGGAATTTTGAATTCTTTAATATCTGTAGATAATGAAACATCTTTAAATCACCTTCAAATCTGTTGAATTTTTATCAGGTACCCAGTCAAAGTTTAGGAATTATAATTACTTGCTTCGTGTTGATAAATTGAGCGTAAAAGTATTGCTTCTCTTACAATGTGTATTATTAATTTATTATTACTTTTTGACTATAATTGTATTAAATATTGTCATACGTTATGGCTGGAACGAATAATGGTTAGTTTTTATTATTATTGTACTGTCACTACCTTAATAAAGTAACCGCTGCATACTTTTAATGTATGTATGGACATTATTAAGGTTTTAAAAAATGTCACTCACTGTCACACTCTGTGTTTAGGTTTTTTTAATAGCTTACCGTTCTGTCTTTCAAATAAATCTTAAATCAAGTGCTAGTAGGCGCAACAAATATGGTTTGTTTATTTTTTTCAGTTAATACATTATCCCTAACTCATACGGAGCTTTGTGAAAAGTGTTTTAGTTTGAAGCATTTCAATATAAAATTAGTTTTAAATTACTAAGTAGACTACGCATTTACAAAAATAGATGTATCTCGAAAAAAAAAAAATTAATTCAATTTTTTTTTTAATATGGAAAAACGCTTGAAGCCCAGAACAAATATCATTGTATTAAATATTGTCATACATTGGTGATGGAAACCATCAATTACAAAGCTACTAACAACTACTAACAATAAATAATTTTAATACTGATAACTATTAGTGAATATTAATACTTTTTGCCACCACCGCAGTAGGCTAGAGAGCGCTTCCAGCGCGCGAAAATTTAAAATGAGTAAGTGTTTTATTTCGACAAAATTTAGTAAATTTTGAATTCATTAATATCTGTAGCAAATCAAATATTGTTATATCACCTTCAAATCTGTTGAATTTTTATCAGGTAACCAGTCAAAGTTTAAGAATTATAATTACTTGCTTTGTGTTGGTAAATTGCGGGTGAAGGTTTTGCTTCTCTTACAATGTTAATTCCCAATTTATTTTTAATTTTTGACCATCATTGTATTCAATACTGTCATACGTTATGGCTGGAACAAATAATGGTAAGTTTTTATAATTATTGTACTGTCCCTACGTCAATAAAGAAAACGCTGCATATTTTTTATGTATGTATGAACAATACTAACGTTTTAAAAAATTTCACGCATTCTCACACTCTCTGTTAAGTGTTTTTAATAGCTGTTCTGTC